ATAACAATGAAATAAACATAGAATTGCTTTAATAGTTTATACCAGTAGTGTTAAAATTTGTTTTATATAGGCTTATATTAAATACAGTAGAACTATTCTATATACAGTTACGAGCGTCATGCGTTCTTAATAATTCTTCATCTCTGTCACCGTTTGCTTTTTTTATTGGAATGACGCTCTCCTATTGGTTGGCTACGATCACGCCACCTTTGCCCCCCCCCCCCCCCCCCCCCCCATCTTCCCCCCCCACTCTCTTTTTGGTTTTTGTAACTATTGTGTTGGAGCGGGTCGCTCCTTAAATAATCTATTGTTAACAATACCTCATTATAGGTCCGCAAATATCGAAAGTATAGGTATGTAGCTTTTGTACGGGTAGATATGCACACGGGTCAATCCCGGGGCGAAGCCCGGGTCACCCGTCTAGTCTTTCTATAAAAGACAATACCTAGTTGCAGAATCAAAATGTCCTTTAGAGAGAGGTGTCTCTTTACAAGAGAGTTGCTATATAGTGAAAAATGCTAATTTTGGCGATTAAAACTGGTCTTTATAGAGAGGTGTCCTCTAGCGAATGTATCCTCTTATGGAGGTTCTACTGTAATAGGTTTTAATGAATTTAAATAGATAAAATAGGTTTAACATTTTAATGGTATTTTTGCTTCTAACATTAGATCGTATTATTAAAAAGGCATATATATGTATATATGTATTGGATCAAAACATATTCTATTTATCTTTATTTGGTATCGAAAATATGAATAAGATAAATAAATTAATTTTTAAATCTAATGTATGCCTTTTTAATTAAATATCTTTTTATGGATTGCTCTCTATTTTCAAAATTAGATCGGGTAAACATTTGTTTCAAAATTGTAGCAAAAAATATCATAATAGTTAACGGCTGTCTTTATAAAATTACATTTTCTAGTGTTGAAAAAAACAATGGAGTATAGAGAAAATACAAAAAGAACCTTAACAATGCAATATCTTTGTACCTTCTTATTATCAGAAAATCTTTATTGTCTTTATAATGTCTGATACATCTTTTGTTGTTTATTTGCAAACGGCCAAAAGTGACAAAAACAAATCAAAAAGGGATGATGATAACCTGCGTCTTGCAGATTAACATTTTCATAGAAACATATATATACATTATAAAGGACTGCGGCGTATGATTATAAAACAACACTTAAAGTTTCATCGCATAAGTTTCTTTTCTGTGAAAAATCAATATTTATTTCAAAGAGAAATATTTACTATTTCTAACTTTTTTGGATGAAGTATGAAAGGGTGAAAATATGAAGAGTAATGGCGAACGGAAAAATAAAAGTGTTCAGGGGCGGGAATCGAACCCACAACCTTCCGCTTACCGGGCAGATGCCATGTCCACTAGGCTACCCTGGACGTATTTTATTTTCCGTTCGCCATTACTCTTCATATTTTCACCCTTTCATACTTCATCCAAAAAAGTTAGAAATAGTAAATATTTCTCTTTGAAATAAATATTTATTTTTCACAGAAAAGAAACTTATGCGGTGAAACTTTAAGTGTTGTTTTATATATACATATTTACTGCTAGCTATATATCAAACAACATTATTAGATTTGCATACAAAACAGTGAAATAACGAAATAAGAAATAATTGATAATATAATAAACAAATACATCAGTAAAAATTCCTTTTTTTAATTTCACAAAGAAAATTAATTATAATTGAATTATATATATAAATAATTTTTTCTAAACGTTATATGTAATTACGTAAATTTTACTCTATACGCTGTTTATAATATAAATAATTTCAAAAAAGGTATGCAAAATATTTGCATATTTTCCAATTAAAAATGATTAAATTTGACTATTTCTATTTGTATCTAAAAGGATATATGTATATATATAATACTCTATGTTTCTATATATCAATAAATATAATAAACTTATATAACCATTTTTTAATATTTTAACGTTAAAAAATCTATATAAATTATATAATCTAATTTGAAAATGTAATAAGTAAAATGTGTTTTCCTCTGTGAATTCCCCAATATTAATAAAATTAAATTTGACCAGCCTCCAGCGATACCTTTATAAGACTTGTAAAGATGGACATGAATAATTCAAATACGGAATTTTTTATTTGTAGTTTTTTTGTGAATCCTGAATGTCACTGAAGGTCTTTAATCTACGGAACGCTTTCTTCAGTTTAAACAGTTTTTTTTCTTCTTGTATTTCTGATATTTTCCTGATGAAAATGAACTGAATGGATATTTTGAAAACAAAGACGTGAAGAATTATATTAGGTTAATACCATATAGATGTTATTTGTGTGAATTTGTTTTATATTTATTAATTAATTATAAAAAGGTTCTAAAAGTAGAATCTCCAATCTCTATTCAAAATTTTATATGGCAAATGATTATATAGGAATAATCAACATATATAGTCACGACCGTCTTTCCTCAATTCCTCATCGCTGTCACGGATGCGCGCGCATCATCATTATGATCATTATCATTATTTAATGATAATAATAATAATTATTATTAGTATATTATTATTATTAATATATATAGTCACGACCGTCTTTCCTCAATTCCTCAATTCCTCATCGGCCGCTGTCACGGATGCGCGCGCATCATCATTATGTTCATTATCTTCTATAGAAGCTTCTATCTTTATAATTATGTATATTTACAAAAAGTCAATTCGCTCGCGCCTCTAGCGGTGAAAATGAGGGGTAATACCAGCTGACCTAATGTACATGTAAAGTTTGGAGCGGGACGTTTCACAAGAGTGACATCCACGGCTCCAATTTATAATTGTAACAAATAGTATTTGAATAAAAACATTCAATCGGGTAAAACACGGGCGTTGCCCGGGTCATTCGGCTAGTATATATATATATTGAAAATAGAGCAATCCGTTTTGAATATATTAATAGGATTTATTTTGAATCGCAATGCTTAATAAACTTTCAATATTTCGATGAGACAGCCTGCCTATCTCATCATCTATATATATATATATTTATATATATATATATATTTTTTTGAAGATTGAGCAATCCATAATTAAAATTATATTTAAGAAGATGCATATATTGTATTTATAATAATTTTAATGTTCCAATATTTTGGGGGGGCAACTCGCCTCTTTTTATCTAGGATGTTTGTGTTTTTCACACGTGCTCGCATGCTTTAGTGAAAAACACAAACATCCTCGATAAAGAGAGGCGAGTTGCCCCTCGAAATATTAGAACATTAAATTATTATAAATCCAATATATGCACCTTTTTAAATATATATATATATGTCTTTATAAATATAAAAAGTATAAGGCTTCTCTCCCATCAAAACTGGAAGCTATTATTGACCGTCGTCTCAAACTAGCGGCCTCGGTTCGGTGACAAAGCCACAACACCAGCTTTAGCAAAGCCCTATGCTTTTTTTAGATCAATTTCCTCCCGGCAAATTTCCATCTATATATGTAAGTATATATTTAATTGATAATATATATATATATATCTCTTATATTAAAATATTTTATTTAGAATTATGTTATATTAAAGTATAATTTTATTTAAAATTATATTTAATTGATTCAAATACTGCTAAATCCGCCACCAGAGGTCGTGCTTTCCTTATAAAAATTCGTTGTTGTTTTATCCCCGTTGGTCGGCTCAAACCTTTGTACATTATGTAAATAATCGTTTGTTTTCCTTATTCTACTCGCCTTAAGCCAGGCAGCACTTTTATCAAACCATGTTTTTCATATATTCCATAAGTTCAATTAAATCTATTTTGATAACTGACTTTATTTAATCATTGTCAAGACTGCTCAACAAATATCTCTATTCTCTTTTCTTTATTTATAAGATATATATATATATCGAAAAATACACCTCTCCCTTTAATTATGCATTAGAACAATGCACTGTGTATCATCTTAGTGAAAAACTTTAATAGTGATGATAAAGAATAAGTCACAACACACCAGTTTAGACAAATTCAGACAACAGCCAACAACCAGTATACCATGGTTTCAGACTATGGCCCTCATCAGTACAGGGACGGCTTCATGACAAAGAAGAAATAAAAAGGTATCAAAAATATATTCAAAGTTTCTATTATTTGCTTCAACCTGAAAAAAAAAAGTGACTAAAATATAGACACGTCAAAGTATTTGTTTCAAAACCTAACAAAGAAGAAATAAAGGTATCATAATATGACCAATCAACCTTGCTAATCTTTGTTTCAACCTGTCAAGAATAAATAAAAAAGTGTCAAAAACACAGAAAAGTCGGTGTTTGAAGTTTATATGTTAATTTTGTAATTATTCTTATTTTTTAATTCATAGAAGCATTTTCTGGCAGACATATTCAATTTTTTTATTATCATTTTTGTGATATTATTATTTTCTTATAGTTAGTTTTCAAATCATTTGCAATTGTAGTTTCTTTTCTGTTTTGTTGTGTTCCTTTTTTAAGCAAAAAAAATATATAGAACTAAGGTGTAATATTCAATTCAAGCATATGGAACCCACAGTCAGCATTGGTAATAAAAAAAAGAAGGAAGATTGAATATACAAATGAGAAGAAACCAAACGCACAGAGAGAAGTATAGTGTAATAAACACCACCAGACTTGGGTAGTATAATTGACAATGATCAGTGGATAATGGCCGTTGTGTTTCCTAGCTGTCAGATGGATACTGTAGAAATTGGCAGTTAGTTCTATGTATATCTCCTAGCTGTTAATGTTCACATACCTTTATACTCCCCATTGAATATAACAAAATATTTTTTAAAACTTAATGCTGTTGACGTTATGTGGCGCTGAGTTTGTTGTTGACACACTTTAAAATGTTAAAACACCTTGATAAAGGTTGGCGTTTAGCCAACTGAAATATTGGTAAAATAAATGATATTTTGATCCAATATATGCCTTTTTAATTAAATACCTTTATATATATTACTGTGTCCATTGACGATCAATATCTTCTAAGCAACAGTGGTATAATGGTTAGCATAGCCTTCTTCCTTGCAGTTGACCCGGGTTCGATTCCCGGTCGTCGCATCTTTTTTTCAGGCTTCTCCAACAGTGAAATGTACATAATGCTTTGAAAATTAGAAACTATTTAATACACGTATGATTCTTTTTGAAAATAAACAATTTCTATTGCCCATACTGCAATGGAAAAATTAAAGGGAGGGGTTTTCCATTGCAGTAAGGGCAGTAGAAATTGTTTAATTTTAAAAAGAATCTTACGTGTCTATAATAGTTTCGAATTTTGATAACAGATGGCGCGCTAATGCATCATAATATATACATATGTGCAAATAAAAGTTATATTCCTTCCTTTTAATAGATGAATAAAAATTAGGTATTCAATAACATAAAACTTTGTATCATAATATTAAGGTAAAAATATCAACCTTCTCTCCAGGGAATCGTGTTTTCTCCCGTATTTACATAACAGATATCGCGTTAGTGCATCGTAACATAGTGCTTTGTATATATTCCGCTTTATGCGTCCATCGGGGTTCAAAAATCATCCATTCTGGTTAGAAGATCCGTAAATAAAGATATTTCCGTATATATCTTCTCTAGTTTCTTGTATACTAGCCTGTTGAGGAATGTCATAGTACGAAAGCTTGCCAAGATTATATTGCATAAAGAATCTTGTTGCCGTTATCTTTGATTCCTTCTTCAATATGATTCCTGACGATTCCTTCTCTTGTTATTTTATCTTGAAGATAGACGTTGCCTCTGGTCAAGTTTCATAGTTCTTAAACAATGAGACACTTCGGATAACAAAGATTCTTATTTTTCTCGATGTTTCGATAAAAAAATCTGTCTTCGTCAGGATAAATATTAAAGTATTTAGCAAGGTGTTATAAATGTATTGTTATAATGCATTGCTGAATACTTTATAATTTTGATTTTCACCTGAGGAATACAAAATAATTTTGTCGAAACGTCGAGAAAAATAAAAAAAGCTTTTATAGCCGAAGTGTCGCTTATTGTTTAAGAACGATTAACATTCTTGTTCCTATTAGAATTCCATGTTTTTCCATAGAGATTATCTTTCTACTTGCAGCTAGTACTTGGTATACTTGGTGAAGCCTTTTTCCCTCAGCCACGACCCTCATCCAACTCTCCCAGGCTTCCACTTCCCATTGTCGGTGCTCTCACAATCTTCTTGTGTCAACCAGAATTCCCTTTTCCTCCAATGGGCCTTTCACCTAGATGGCTGTATTGTGTTGTCCTTATTGTCTTTCTGCGAAAAAGCTTGGCCTTCAAGCTTGCAGCGGAGAGTGCGTAATTTCTATTACAAATATTATCTTTCTTCAAAATTCGAAACTATTTTAAAGGCGTAAGATTCTTTTTAATATTAAACAATTTCTACTGCCCTTACTGCAATGGAAAAATTAATGGGAGGGCCGAGTTCATCAGTGGTGAACCCTCTCAGCGGTTTCGCCAGTTAAATCTACCATACCGCTGTTATATTGCATTTTTGGAACTTCCTTTTATAGTGATAGAAATTGTTTAATTTCAAAAAGAATCTTACGCCTTTAAAATAGTTTTGAATTTTGATAACAGATGGCGCGCTAATGCATCATATTATCTTTCTTAATTGACGAGATAGGCTAATTGGTATAAATGGATGAGGCCTTTGGAGAGAATGGAGCGAGCACTGTCATCCAATACTTGTCCAAAGAGCCAGCTTAACTGGACAAGTAGTCACTGATTGATATATTCAACTTTTATTCAACTATTACAACAAATCTAGCTGTATCGCTAAAAACACTGGCGCCAAATGAAAGAGAAAAATATCTATCTATATGATGAGCTAGACCCTCCCATTAATTTATCATTTCACTAAGAACAGTAGAAAATTGTTTTATTTTAAAAATAATCATACGCGTTTAAAATTGTGTCAATTTCTTATATACACAGTCTAGCCATAAATTCTGTTACAAACAATTTTATAAATTAAATGATTAAGAACAAAAACTAATGGAAAATAAATACATATTTTATTAGCCAATAAGACATAGATTTTAAATATATACAAGCATTCAAAATGTTCTCCCTTATTTTTGACACAGGATCTCAAACGTTCGGGCCACTGATCTATGGTGGCACGCACCTTTTCTAAGGGTATTTCTTTCATTGCTCTCACCAATGCTGATTTCAATTTATCCAAATTATGATATCTTTTATAGCACACCTTCTCCTCTAAATATGCTCACAAACTGTAATCAAGGGGTTTAAATCAGGGCTTCCAGAGGGCCATTCATTGGCCTTTATGAACTCCGGAACATTCGTCTCCAACCATTGTTGAGTTGACTTAGCTTTGTGAGCAGGAGCTGAATCTTGTTGAAATATCCAATGTTCTCCATTAAACATTTTTGTATTCAGAGGCTTTACTACTTGTTACAAAATGTCTTATTTATAGTTTTCAGCTGTATTTTTTACCCCTTTGGCACAGAAGTGGAGATCTGTTACACCTTGGTAGCTAACTCCCCACCAAACCATGACAGAAGAAGGATGGTGACTTTTTCAAGTCTTCTGACTTTCAAATAAGCTTCTAGAGAGCTACGAGCATATATCCTATCATTCTGACGATTAATTTTTTTTCGACAGTGAAAAAATTATCGTCTTTGAAAAGGATTCTCTCATGCCACCGACCATCATGCTGCGCCAACAACATTTTTGATCTAACCCTTCTAATATCTCTAAGAGCAGGGGTTATCAAATGACCTGTGCGTCTTTTGAAAGCTCTCAGTCCAAGGTCTTCGTTGATTATCCTTGTAACTATCTTGGAGCTAAATTTATCTGCTTTGCTAAGATCTTTTGTTTGCAGTGTGGATTTCGACGAATTCTTTCGCGAATGGCTTTTATAGCTGCTTGCGTTCGTTGCATGCGAGGTCGACCAGATCTTTCAAGGTCATCAATATTGCAAGCCTTGTTGAACCTTTCATTGATGATTTATTCAAATTTTGTAAAAGTTTAAAAAGGGTGAAAGATTTTGGCCTACCTTGTGTAAGAGGCTATTACAACTATAGGGTTTTCTTTAATACCCAAACCCATTATCAAAAAACAAATATATTCCGATTTTTTTTCTAAACATGTGTACACGAGATATTCAAATAACAACAACTGTATTTTGAATACTTAACGTGGTCAAATTAATATTTTATCACTGTTTTGGTTTTGTAACAATATTTATGGCTAGACTAAGTATATGGTAATTTTATATCATTAGTTGAGTAAACAATAATACAATAAACAAAGTACCAAGCAATAGCAATAATCTTACCTTTGAATAAATATTTACATATAAAAAAGCAAAACTGACAGCTTATCCAAATCATCACTGGTTCAACCCATTGAAACAATTAGAAGAACTTCAAAAACTCAATAGAAATCAACAAACAGCTTTAGCAAGACTAAGAAGTGGTCATATAAAAACCTTAAAATTTCAAAATGGACAAAAAAAAACCTTCAATAACTGCTTGAAATGCAATAGTGTGAAAGCTTCTCCGGAGCATATCTTGTTATGCTCAGAACTGACAATAGAGGACCCCAGGCCTATAACTACCATCGCAAAATTGGAGAGGAGTGGACTTCAGGAATTGGTTTAACCATGGAGATGAGCACCACCACCACCACTAGAAAGTACCTAAATGATAACAGTACCAACTCTTTAAAACCATGCTGTGCCAATCTTTCTCCTTCAGTACTTTTGTCTGAAGATGGTCACAACATTGTTATTGAGACGTTCAATCAAATTTAGTTATTTAGTCTGTTCACCTTGTTGTTCTTGTCGAATAATCTTAATTGCATACCTCATCAATCTTATTTACATATGATCCAGCTGATATCTCTGACCTTGAGGCAAGGACTGTATTAAGGATTCCATCCTCTGTTCATCTAAAACATCCATCTACTGGAGATTTGAGGTAAGTTGACGAAGACCTCTTTGATTGTCTACTGATATGGACGCTTCCTTGTCTTCTACTTCTTTCTTATCTCCACTCAATAATCATATTAGAGTATCAAGCCTGTAGAGGTTGTTGATTGTGTCTGCTGGGGATGAGTAGAGTTCATCAATGGATGAGCCAATACAGTCAATAATGATTGGGTAAAGAAGGATCCTTCTGCCTTTGTCATTAAGATTGGAAGCACTACTCAATTTTCTCCATCAAAAGTATTCTTAATGATATAAAGCGCAGTGGCCATTCGCTGCTTGTGGATGTTTTTGAAAGTTCCATTTTGGACCAATATGTAAATAACTCCGTCCGTGAGAAAGCTCCACCAATATTGAAAGCTTACAGAAAGATTCTTTCATAACCATATTAATATAAAATAATCATTATTGCTGTGAGAAAGAGTTAATATTTATTATTTTGTAACTAATAAAAAAACTCATAAATATTTCGCAAATCGAAGAAAATATTTATTTAAAATATTTTTTTTTTTAAACGTAGCGCCATCTCTAGGAAATTTTAACAATTAATTCTTTGATTAGCGAACCTTCCATATATTTGCATATCTACTCGATATATCTATGCAAATTAAATTGTTCTATTTATACAAAATAATTTATAACAATTCTCTAATAGTATTTCTTTTTATCTCGTGGAACAGAGGAAGGATAAATAAAAGAAATTGAAGTGGAAGGAGCGTATATAGCGAGTTTAACAGAATCGTTGATGGGGAAACCAATTCGTTTGGGTGAGATTTTGGCAATCCTCGGGTTTTGGGAGGGGGTATGGGGGGGGGGACCTTGATTAATTGAGGGATGCAATTAACTCAAATTAAGATGGGGACAGTTCCTAATCCGTGCAGAGCTCATTTATAGGCTGAACACAGAGACCAATTATGGCTTTACTTCCATTCTCTATAATTGACCTTCTACCAACACGGCGCGTTGGATTGGTTACTTAAAAGCCATTTTATAAACTGGACGCTTTGGAGGAAAAGGGATTAAAGAGATACAGAAAATTATTTTTAAACATTTTTTCCCCATCACACAAAAATAATTCTTGAAGTTTATATATTAGTTA